GAAATAATGGGGGAGGGGTGCCTGGGTGGCCCAGTCAGTTGGGTGTCCGACTTCAGCTCAGGTCATGATCTCACAGTTCGTGAGTTTGGGCTCTGCGTTGGGCTCCGTGCTGGAAACTCAGAGCCTGGATCCTGCTTTGGATTCTGTGTCTCCTTCTCTCTCTGCCCCTCCCCCGCGCACACTCTGTGTCTCTCTCTCTCTCTCTGTCTCTCAAAAATAAGTGAACATTTAAAAAAGAAAAGAAAAAAGAAATAATGGTGGTGGGATCCAGCCCTCTGCTTAACAAGCCCCTCAAAGTGATTCTGATACTTTTCTTGAATAAGGTAGTTACATGAAACAAAGAAAAATACCATTATAATCCGGGGTGAGAAATTAACCAGTTATTTCTTCAGTTTTGAAAGGCCTGACCCCCAGCTGCTAGGTCCAGAGCAGAACGTGTCCTAACCTTTTGCACAGATCAGTGCATACCTGTGAAGCTTCATGAATGTTTGTTCTGGCATTTCCTATCACTTGTATCCTTTCTGTATATCTCATATGGGCTTACTTAATCTCAACTGTGTTTCTGTTCCTGTGTATGCTAAAATATGTTTGATAATGAAGAAGCTTCCTGGAGAAAATGTGGCATTTGAAAATACTTGCTTTTGTAAATGTATCCATGTTTTCTTTGCTGTGTTAAAAAATTTGAATTTCATTGAACACTGAGTAGGCTGGTAGATTTTTTTTAAAGAGACAATAAAAGCCATTTATTTAAACACTTACTGTAATTTGGGAAGAATATGAAGTGAATTCAGCTGTGAGTGCACTTAGTTTTTTGAGTTCTGAATAAAGACTTAAAAAGATCTTACCTACATTTATTTACAAACTATACCAGTATTGAAACTGAGTTCAGTTATTTCCCAACCCAATAGATAAAATACTTCTGCAAATTTGTACAAAAGGCCAAAAAAGTACTGCCTAAATTAATACTGCACTGAGAAAAATACAGGATGCTACAATTAGAGTCTTTTAAGTACGTATGAATGGTTGGCCTAACCTGCAATGTAGGAATTTTTTTTCCCTATAAGGTATGTTTTATTGAAATAACTCCTGTATTTTAAGAAAAGCACACATTTTTACCATATAGGAAATTCTAATAATAGCATGCAATTCAAGTGTCCTTTTTCTTTCCGGGAAAGATATATTCTTAGGTATAAGTCATAAGCAAAACCAACTCAGGTTTATTAACATTTGTGGCAAAATTTTTTAAGAGGCGCAAGTCAAAGGGTGACTCAAATGATTGGAAATTGTTTGTTGAATTACTGGCCCTTGCCAAGGTCCTGCTAGCACTGGTTTTTCTGTTGTTGTTTTTTGGCAGATCCAGGTTGATGAAGTCAGGAAACTGGTGTATTTTGAAGGCACCAAGGACTCTCCTTTAGAACATCACCTGTATGTGGTCAGTTATGTAAATCCTGGAGAGGTGACAAGGCTGACTGACCGTGGCTATTCCCACTCTTGCTGCATCAGCCAGGTATTAAGTCCCTGTTGGAAAAGGGTTTCCTATCAATTGAAAAACTCTCTGCTCATATAATACTCCATTTGAGTAATGTGAAAATCAGTGAAATTGGCCTGCAGAAGTCTGATTCTCTGAAGAAAAACTTTAAAAAGTCAGGTTTTAACTTTAGCATCATATATGGACATAAATGATCAGACTCTTAACCATACTCCTGCTCTGGCACCATGAGGGAAAAAGTAATTGTTTCTCCTTTCTCTAGCATTGTGACTTCTTTATAAGTAAGTATAGTAACCAGAAGAATCCACACTGTGTGTCCCTTTACAAGCTATCAAGTCCTGAAGATGACCCAACTTGCAAAACAAAGGAATTTTGGGCCACCATTTTGGATTCAGCAGGTACTCATTTCCCTGAACCTGATTTTAAGTAGGATTAGTACATAAGTGCACTAAACCTGTCTCATATGTCCACATTTCTCATCTCTTACCACCACTTATCCCTGAGCTGCTGAGTTCCTGATTGATCCCACCCTTCCTATTCTATCAACCACCAAATGAGATGCATTAACCTCCCACTCAGGCAGGAGCAGGTCTGGAAGGCCTTTTTGAAGATTGTGTTTTGTTTTGTTTTGTTTTTGTTTTGTTTTAAGTTCAGTAATCTCTGCACTCAATGAAGGGCTCGAACTCACAACCCTGAGATCAGAACTCACAACCCTGAGATCAGAACACTCTTCCAGTTGAGCCAGCCAGGTGCCCCCTGGAAGACCTTTTTTTGTTGTTTGTTTGTTTGGTTGGTTGTTTTAATGTTTATTTTTGAGAGAGAGAGAGCATGAGTGGGAGAGGAGCAGAGAGAGGTGGGGTGGGGGGGTGGACAGAGGATCCAAAGCAGGCTCTACACTGACAGCACAGAGCCCGATGCAGGGCTCAAACTCATGAACCATGAGATCGTGACCTGAGCCAAAGTCGGATGGATGCTCAACGGCCTGAACCACCCAGGCACCCCTGGAAGGCCTTTTTGAAAATAAGAATAAAATAGTCACAATATCAGCTTGAAAACTGTTTGTTCACATGTTTGGATGATTTCCCAGAAATGCTTTCTTTTAAAGCATTTGCAATGGCCATCTTAATAAAAGATAGAACGCTTGTTCTATGTAAGAGTGAAGAACACGGAATTATCTATTTTTTAAATGCTTGATTTCTTTAAAAAAAAGGACTAATTTTGCATATCTTTAGTCTACTTTCTCCCCAAGTTCTTTTTCCTGTTAAGTATTTTCACTCGTGAATATGTGCTAAGGGATTAAGAACTTAATGCAAAACCACAGGGTATGTTCTGTTGTCCACAAGTAGGATTTGTAATATGGTGACGATCTCTGCTTAGGTTGTAACATCATCCAATATACACTCTTAGGGTAGGTCTCTAAAGCTTTGGTAAACCAAAGACTGATTGTGACTTTCTTTTTTTCTGGGTCCTGGTTAGGTTTATTCTCTAATGATCAGAAACAGATGTTTATTGAGCACCTGCTATGAGCAAGTTAAATTGACTGAGTTAAATTTGTGCTTCCAATTTCTAATCAGATATATGGCTTAACCATCATTAAGTTACACTGAACCAAGCACTAAGTATTTGTATAGTGCTGCATCTAAATACCTCCTAGGCTCCATGGACTAGTCAGAATACGTTGTATCTGCTTTTGAAATAGGTAATGTGATATGTTCAGTAGATTTTCTTTTTTAAAAATAAATGTTTTTGCTTAATTTCTTGCTGACCACCTGAAAGGGAGATGGTCAGTTATTTGTGTGTAGAGTTGTGGGTTATGGTTTCTTTTCCTTGCTCGCAGATTTTAGAGCTCCCGTAAGAACTCCCTTTACATACTCATTTTTGTTATCTCCTCATAGGTCCTCTGCCTGACTATACCCCTCCAGAAATTTTTTCTTTTGAAAGTACTACTGGATTTACATTGTATGGGATGCTGTACAAACCTCATGATCTACAACCTGGAAAGAAGTACCCCACTGTGCTGTTCATATATGGTGGTCCTCAGGTGGGCCTGTTTATTTATTTTAATTTTTTTATTTTGACTCCAGTATTGTTAACATACAGTGTTATATTAGTTTCAGGTGTACAGGATAGTGAATCAACAATTCACATCACCCAGCCCTCATCACAAGTACACTCCTTAATCCCCTGATATCACCTATTTCACTCATCCCTCCACCCACCTCTCAGGTGGGCATATTTATATGCATACGTGTGTGTGTGTGTGTGTGTGTGTGTGTACACATATTTTTTTGGGGGGGGTGATTTGTATTTTAAATGTCTCATCAATTGTTTAAGTTAAGATGTGAACATTGTTGGGCCTCTGCTGTTATTGACTCTGGCTTATGTTCTAATTCCTGTTTAGAAGTTGGATTTTGTTACATGGCTAATGTGTAAATAAGTGTCAATTTCTTAGTTTACAGTAGGACTGTAACAGTCATTGGAGAATGAAATATTCATGTCAGTAGGTATATATGTTGTCTTTTATGTAGAGAAGAATCTTGTTTGGGAAATGAAATTAAATAGTTAACTGTCTTGGTAAGTAAAAAGAATCTTAATAGATATTTGCAGAAGCCTTGGTAGCCTAATGAGTTACCTCTCTCCATTCTAAGTCTGTATCTCTCAAGCAGACTAGAATATTTTTATCATCTAGTTAAGGCAACTGTTATACTTCTATTCAACACTATAAGAGTTTACACTGTAATATTCCTTTTTCTGGATGAAATATTAGCATGTAAATATTAAGTAAATTCTGTTGACTATCAGAGTAAATAAAGTATTTGGGGTAGGTGCATTGGTTAATTGGCACTTTTTAAAAATGTCTATTGACTATCTTAAACTGGGCCCTTGAAGAAATTAGAATATAATTACACTGTTTTTATAGTGCAGGTCTTGACTCAGTAAATATCCTTTATAATTATACCTAGTTATCCAGTATTTGGAAATGTATTTAGATGCTAAGATATCCAAAAAATAGGAGTGCCTGGCTGGCTCAGTTGGTAGAGCATGCGACTCTTGATCTCAGGGTCTTGAGTTCAAGCCCCACATTGGGTGTAGAGCTTTATTATTTTTTTTTTAAGTTTATTTGTTTTGAGAGAAAGAGAGCCGGGGAGGGGCAGAGAAAGAAGGAGAAAGAGAGAATCCCAAGTGGACTCCACACTGTCACTGTGGGGCCCAACATGGGGCTCAAACTCACAAACCATAATATCATGACCTGAGCCAAAATCAAGAGTTGGACACTTAACCAGCTGCACTTAACCAGCTGAGCTGCCCAGGCTCCCCAGAGCTAAAGAAAGAAAGAGACAGAGAGACAGAGAGAGAGAGAGAGAGAGAAAGAGAAAGAGAGAGAGAGACAGAGAGAGAAAGAGAAAGAAAGAGGGAGGGAGAGAGAGAGAAAGGAAGAAAGAGAGAGGGAGGAAGGGGAAGGAAGAAAGAGAGAGAGAGAGAAAGAAAAGAAAGAAAAGGACATCCAAAAAATAAAAGCAAAATAACTATATAAGCCACAAAATCTCAGCAATGACGATCATATATCAAGTTAAATCACTTTGCCATCGTTAAGATTTTTTTCAAACATGATTCACATTTGTATTATACTCATCTACACATAAATCATAAACATTTAAATTAGCCTTCCATTAAAAACTTAAAGCTGAATCTTTGTAAACTTTAAAAAAAAGGCTTAAAACAAAGAAATTCAAGAGAGAAATTACAGGATACTCTCAGAAGCTTTACATGTTTTTGTTACATTATTTTGATATTAAGGCTGAGTAAGAAGGATGTTTCTCCTTTCCAGTGAAGAAGTGATATATGAGGTATGTGACAAACACACTATAAAAACTAACTGCTTGTGTAGATTTTTAAGACAAAAGGAATCCTTATATTATTCCTCATTACCAATTATGTTTAAAAAGTCTAACCCACATAGAAGGATATTCAGCACCACTAGTCATTAGGGAAATGAAAATCCAAATCACAATGAAATACTACTTCACACTCATTAGGATAGTTATTATGAAAAAAAAGAAAGAAAAAAGGAAAATAACAAATGTTGCTGAGGACGTGGAGAAATTGGAACTCATGCATTGCTGATGGGAATGTAAAGTGGTGCAGCTGCTGTGGCAAATAATATGGCAGTTCTTTAAACATAATGTTAAGTCTGATGCAGCAATTCCATTTCTGGTTGTATACCCAGAAGAATTGAAAGCAGAGACTTGGACAGATACTTGTACACCAACATTCATTGCAGCATTATTCCCAATAGCCAAAAGCTGAAGCGCCCCAAGTGTCCTTTGACATATGAATGGGTAAACAAAACATGGTATATAATGGAACATTGTGCAGCCTTAAAAAGGAGGAGATTCTAACACATGGTACAGCATGGGTGAACCTTGAGGACATTATGCTAAGTGAAATAAGCCAGACACAAAAGGACAAATATTGTATTACTCCACTTGTATGAGGTACCTAGAAGAAGCAAATTCATGGAGACAGAAAGTAGATAGAGATTGCCAGGAACTGGGGAAGGAATAGGAAGTTATCGAATAAGATACGGAGTTTCTCTTTGAGGTGATGAAAAGGTTCTGGAAATGGATAGTGGTGATGGTTGCACAGCAGGGTGAATACTTAATGCCATTAAATTGTACACTTCAAATGGTCAAAATGGTAAATTTTACCATAATAAAAAATCTTAGCCAATGCAGTTAAAATAAAATTGTTTAATTGTTTAGAGTACTTTATGAGTACAACTATACTTACACTTACAGAAACAGTTTCTTCTCAGAATACTCTGTTCAGTTTGCAAGATTTCCCCAAGAGACTTTGCATGATAGAATGCCTCTGGCCCTTCAACGCACTGGGATTATCCATCCTCTTGTTGACTCCATTTGGGTTAATTATGAAGATATTCCTTAATACAAGAGCAGATCTTTTTTTAATTATTATTTCTAAGTTTACTTATTTATTTTGAGAAAGACAGAGACAGCACAAGTTGGGGGGGGGGGGGGGGGGGGGGGGGGCAGAGAGAGAGGGAGAGAGGGAGAAGCCCAAGCAGGCCCAGCACTGCCAGCATAGAGCCTAACATGGGGCTCAAACTCACAAAACTGAGATCAAGACCTGTGCCGAAACCAAGAGTTGGGCACTTAACCAACTAAGCCACCCAGGCACCCCAAGGCCACATCTTTTTTAATAGCACAGAAAGCCTTGTGAACTTTGATTAAATCTTGTAAGCAATCCAAACTGTGTTCTTTCTCCGAGTATATTCAGTGCAAAGTGGGAATCTGTTGATTGGCAACAGTATCGCAATTTGTAACATGAAGTGGATTACTTTGTCACTAAATGCAACAATGTCTGTAGTTGGACAAAAGTGAAATCCAAGAAAAGCAACAAATATTTCCAGTTAAAGTCATCCAGGCTTAGTTCTTTAAACTCTTCATTGATAACAGCTGTATGTTTTAAATGTTCATTTAACAAATCCTTGTGATGTTTCCTATGTGCTACATTCTGTAAATAGAAGTGCACAACAGAGCGACCTAAGTGATAGCAGGACACAGGTTTTGAAGAGTGGGTACTGAAGAACTTTGAATCCTCAGTGCCACAGGTCATTACGTTTAAGTTCCTTCTTCCAGAAGTAGCAGGCCTCTGGCTACAAAGGCAGAAACACTGCCTCTCAAGGGAAATTCATATCAGGCAATGAGGCCATTTTTTTTTGCATGACAACAGGCAAAGAAGTGAACTGAAGTAGTTTTCTTTACATAGTTATTTTGTGTTTTATGTCTAGTACTTTTTTCCACTCCCTTCCTTTTTGCCCCTTCTCCCAAGATAGAAAGGAAAAACATCATTAACTATACTGGAATTCAAGTTTTTAAAAAATATTTTTTTTTAAAGAAAGGGAAAACATCATTCTCCTGTCTGTATTTTTTATTCATTCATTCAGCAAATAGTTATTGAAGTTCCTAGTGTGTCCCAGGTACTATTTTAGACAGCGAGGATACCATAGCAAACAAGTCTGACTAAGGTCCCACCCTCATGGAGCTAAATAAGGAAAATAATAAATGAGTAGACATATAAAGTATATAACTTCATATAATGGAAGTGCTCTTTGGAGGGTGGCTCAGTCGCTTGAGCGTCCGACTCTTGATTTCATCTCAGGTCATGATCAAAGGGTTGTAGGATCAAGCCCCACTTTGGGCTCTGTGCTGAGCATGGAGCCTGCTTGAGATATTCTCTCTCTCTTCTCTTCTCTTCTCTCTTCTCTTCTCTTCTCTTCTCTTCTCTTCTCTTCTCTTCTCTTCTCTTCTCTTCCCTTCCCTTCCCTTCCCTTCCCTTCCCTTCCCTCCCTCCCTCCCTCCCTCTATCTGCCCCTCTCTGCCAGTCACACCCTCTCCCTCTCTAAAATAAGAAATTAAAATAAAACAAATTAAAAAATTTTTTTAAATAGTAATTGTTGGGAAAGACGATGGCAAAGTGACTAAAATGGAAGTTCTGATAGGAAGTTCAGAGACTGTCTCTGAGGGTACATAAGATGAGAAGGAATGACCGTGTTAAAGATCTGAAGGAAGAGTATTCCAGACAGAGGGAACAGTAAATGTCAAGGTCCTGGGGATTAGAGTCAACTTGATATGGTTGATAATAGGGTTAGAGTCTAGTAAGTAGGGATTTGGTATGAGATGAGGTCAGAGAAATAGCCAAAGGTCAGATAATATAACATTTCAAAGGCAATGGTAAGGACCTTAGAATAAGATCTAAACTCTTTACGGTTTCAGGGAGCTAAGCTATAAAGTCTTACCAAATTTACATTTAAAAATCATCCCTCTGCTACCAAGTGAGTGGACTGTAGGAGAGCAAGAGTAGAAACAGGAAGACCAGTTTGGCCGTTGTTACAGTGGTTACAGTGGCACTGAATATGCAGAAGTTCAAAACGAGAAGATTCTCTAGACACACAGCACACGCACACCAGTCCAGCCCAGTAAATGCTCAGTATATAGTTACTGTGTGAAGATGTGTTGATTATTTTTTAACTTGTGGCTGACTTGGTTTTCCCATTGGTTTCAGCCAGAAAAAACCTCTTTCATTTTTGCCAGAACCGTTTTTGTCGTAGTTTAATGTGTGGTCTTAGTGTCCACCAAACGCTGAACTTCTCTCAGCTTCTTTCCTCTAATTAAAGTCCTCTTTTCACTAGTTTATTTCTGTTGAGGCACTAAACTACATTTAATTTCTCAGTCATTTTGAGGTATAGGTTCTAGGGTGATAAAGCGATCTAAGAATTATCCTACCTTTTGCACTGATTTGTGTCACAGGAGAAAGGAAGCTGAGCTGGTCACAGTGTTTCCTTAAAATACTGAATTTTTCCACTGCTAGTCAGGGACAATCCTAGAAGAGATAGATAGGGAGGAAAAAATGATCCTTGTCTCTGTCATCTGAATGGCATAGTTTTTCAGGGTAGTGGTAATGATTTTATCAACTTTTTTATGGGATAGGTTAAATCTCTTGTCTTGTATGTAATGAATATCAAGTTAATTTAAAAACAAGTCAGGGAGGGGGGAAATGGGGAGTTACTAATCAGCGAGCATAAAGTCTCAAGTATGCAAGATGAATAAGTTGTATCCTACTGTCCTACAATTAATGATGCTATATTGTACATTTAAAATTTTGTTAAGAGGGCACACCTTGTGATAAGTGTTCTTGCCACAAGAAAATAAAATTTCATTCTAAAAGCAAAATAATACAAAAAATTCAAGCTTTCTACTTTTCACAGCATCCTGTCACTTAATGCTTTTTTTATATTACCATATAATAAATTTCACTGAAATTGTATTTCTTCCTCAGGTGCAGTTGGTGAATAATCGATTTAAAGGAGTCAAGTATTTCCGCTTGAATACCCTAGCCTCTCTGGGTTATGTGGTTGTAGTGATAGACAACAGGGGATCCTGTCACCGAGGGCTTAAATTTGAAGGCGCCTTTAAATATAAAATGGTGTGTGAGCATACAAACATTTTTCTTTTTTAAGACATTTCTATTTTTTGGTTCATTGTTTGGTGTGAAGTCCCAGAGAGAGAGAGAGAGAGAGAGAGAGAGAGTTGAGGGAAGGGGCCGTAAGAGATGGAGAGAGAGAGAGAGAGAGAGAGAGAGAGAGAGAGAGAGAGAGTGTGTGTGTGTGTGTGTGTGTGAGAGAGAGAGAGACAGAGAGACAGAGACAGAGACAGAGAGAGAGGGAGGGAGAGCAAGAGTGTTCAGGGGTGGGAGGGATGATGCAACTTGATACTCACTAGGCTAGTTCACATCCACCTGTATGTAACTTCGGGGAGCTGAGATAGAACCACTTTTACACAGAAGTACCTTCTCTTTCTATTTGGTATGTCCAGCTTAGCCAGAAGGCAGCACCATTTAGTTTTCAGCATCCTGTCCCCTATTGAGAGGAATAATTGAGATTTGTTCTGTCCTCTGTGAAGAGAGAAATCAACTGATTAGTGCCTTCCTTGTGACAAGCCTCTTTCTCTCTACAGGAAGCTTTAAATGCTACCTTTTAGAGATGCCCCATGTCCTTTCTGCTGCTTTGGGAAATGATGAGAATCCGATGTTCCTTTTACACAGTAAGGCAGTTACTGTGTTTGCCAGTGTATTGGACATGCTGAGTAAGACATGGGATTTTCTCCCACAGCCAGTTCTTTGACCTTATGTTGTATTCTCATGTAAGTTTTTTTGTTTTTATTTTTGTTTTTGGCTCAGTGAAGTGAGATTGTGTGCACTGGCAGGCCTAGTAATACAGACAGGGTGGTGGTGGTAGGAATTAGGACTTAATAGGACTTTAAAGAAATAGTGTATGTTCAATTCCTAGAAATCGATAACGGGGAAATAGGAGGAAAGACCTCAAGAGTGATTCCTTCTGCTTTAGTGCATTAAGTTTTAAAAAGAAGTAAAATTAGTCAACCACTTAAGGGGGCTAATTTTTTGTCTTTGGGTATAGGAAGGCTTGTTACAAGGAAGATGCTGACCTCTTAGCAGACAACAGAACAAATGGAAAGGGGAGATACCCATATACCAGGAACGGTTTGGGTCTTAATAGGAAAGAACTTTATGACTAAGGGGTTACAAAACTCTGGACTGGCTAGCAATGGAAGCTATAGGCCCCTCTCTCTAAATAGAGTTAAAAAAATTTTTTTTGGCCAACAGAATGTCAATTGATAATGAATTCTTTAAAAACTACAGGTATTTTTTAGTAAAACCCATTTATCAGTTTTAAAAGCACTCTTACAAGGAGACTTCTATTCATCAGAATGAGTGAAATGTTCTCCCTTTTTTGACAGGGTCAAATAGAAATTGACGATCAGGTGGAAGGACTCCAATATCTAGCTTCTCAATATGATTTCATTGACTTAGATCGTGTGGGCATCCATGGCTGGTCCTATGGAGGATACCTCTCCCTGATGGCATTAATGCAGAGGTCGGATATCTTTAGGGTATGTGACTTCCTATTGTACTTCTTTTTGTAGTAAGGGTAGAATTTTCTATAAATTGAGGATCTGAGAAAATGCCTATTTTTTGAAGGCTTACAGGGTTGGCAATATTATGGAATGTTAGAGTTTGTGTATCTGCAGTCATGCGAGATAATAGATGATCTTGTCAACTTGTGATAGCCATGTGAAATATATATTTACTTGTCTATGTCTGTATCTAGAACAAAAAACACATGTCAACTTGATAACCAGTTATTGGCTATTTATAGACATGCAGAGATTATGGGAGATAGCCATGATTAGTAAAACACACACAATGTGGATTGTAATTACTTATTTAATTACTGGACTGAAAGCTCTTAGGGCTGGGATTGTGTGCACATCACTGTATCTATCCTCAGTAGCCAAGCATAATGCTTGGCACATAGTAGGTCCTAAATAAATCTTTATTGAATGACTACTGTATTAAATATGTAAATGTTGGTTACAATTTTATAAACAACTTCTTTGAAAAATACGCCAGAAGGAAATAAAGATGCTAAAAGTTGTTAAGAGAATGGCAATTGTGAAGTGTTTTTCTTTCTTAATATTTGAATAACATGATTTTATCTTACAGTGAAAATAATTTTTAAGAATTAAAATAATAGAGTTTTTGTTCTTGCATGTATATTCACATAAGCTTTATAATAACCACAAAATGAACTCTGAAAACTGTCATAATTTTCCCAGGCTTGCAGCTGTCAAAATAATTAGAATATTTAAATGTAAAACTGTTTGTGGGGACCTTAAAATGAGGGAAGTATTTAGTGCTTAAATATATTTCATTCATAATTTTTGTTAAAAATTCTGTACTCCCAGTAGAGGCTGAAAAAAAAAAAAGAAAGAAAGAAATGACTGCTTTTTTGATATAAAAGCTGACACTTGTCACACTTTTTTTTCCCCAGTAGCAGGAATGAGTTTACACTGAGGCATTCATATGTTCTAGTTCAGTCTCCCCTTTCAACAAAGTGTCCCGTGTATATATTTCAACTAGCCCAGGTTAGGGGTTTGGTGTGTGGCATGCCTGCGGAACATGAAGCTAACTGACTCACAAAGTATCAAATTCTTGACCTTGGCACTCCACTTTGATTTTCTGAGTTGCCTAACTCAGAAATGTGTGCCCCAGTTGGGCATGTGGGGCAAAAGCCTAAGGATAATTTTAGCCTTTAAATTTGTAGTTAAACTTTCTCATTGCTAGCCATTCTTTTCTGGACCACACTTGATTGTCATTGTTGTCTTATGTAGGTTGCTATTGCTGGGGCCCCAGTCACTCTGTGGATCTTCTATGATACAGGCTACACGGAACGTTACATGGGCCACCCTGACCAGAATGAACAGGGCTATTACTTAGGATCTGTGGCCATGCAAGCAGAAAAGTTTCCCTCTGAGTAAGTTCAAGCTTTAAAGTTAAGATTATAAATTTAAAACTGTAGTGTTAAAATTTGTCTTTAATAATAATGAAAACTACAAATACTGCAAAACCAAGACTAATATTCTAAAGAATACTCTAGTGGCATAGCTATTTTTCAGAGCTGAGTTACAGGCCAGTTCATACACTTTGGTTTTTTTATAAGTTATATTTGAAGCAATGAGGGTGCTGAAAGAAGTTTAATAAGTACGTAACTGTTTCAAGGTGGAAAATACTCTGTTTCTGCTTAAATATATTTTATGGATAATGTTTATGATTTTTCTTTCCCTATGGACAGGCTGTAATTATTATATTGATATATGCTAATATCTTCATAAGAAATTGAACACATGATATTTAAAATTTTTTTAATCTTTCGTTACATGTAATATCTGGTTAATATATTATAAATTTATTGAAAATGTTGAATTCTTATTTTAACATTTATAGTAGAAGTTAACTTTATTAACACTGATTATATTATTATACAGTTATATGTTTTCATATAATTATGTTATATAACTGTATATAGTTGTATATATTACCTAACTATAATATTTACTAATAGGTAATTGTGATTAAAGGAGGTAAGTGGTTTTCCCAAATACTCTATTTTGCCTAATCCTCTGATATTTCCATTTCTCCAGACCAAATCGTTTACTACTTTTACATGGGTTCTTGGATGAGAATGTCCATTTTGCACACACCAGTATATTACTGAGTTTTTTAGTGAGGGCCGGAAAGCCCTATGATTTACAGGTGAGTTCTTCATCTTCTGATGGAATTAAGTAGTGATTAGTGATTGATTACTTTGAAATATAATAAACTATGGAGTAAGGCTAAATTTTCAGCTGTGGCCTCTCTCTGCTTCAGAGATCTAAAGTCATAGACATACATAGCAGTGCCTCTAGTTGCATAAAAATTAATACTCTGTGGAAGTTGGACTAAAAACTGGCCTATTAGATTATATGACTGGTGTATCTGTATCTGCTTTCAGTTTGTAATCATGGAAAAGATGACAGGAGTCCATTCAGTGTCCTTTGCTTTTCTTCTTCCCCTTGGAAGGGTGAGGAAGTGCTACTTGGTATCATTGGTTTTTAAAGATCTTTTAATTTTATATTATGTTGACATTGGAACAGAAAGCAGCAAAGTAACCACCTCTGTTGCTCCTTACTCAAAAAAAGGGGGTTTTAAAACTTGTTCCTTCTTTCTTCCTCCTTTGTACTTCTTTCACAGATTATGTGCTCCTAAGAAATGAAAAATATTGTTTTTCCCTTTTTAAAAAAGAATTTTTTTTAATGTTTATTATTTTTGAGAGACAGAGACAGAGCACGAGTTGGGGAGGGGCACAGAGAGAGGGAGACACAGACTCGGAAGCAGGCTCCAGGCTCTGAGCGGTCAGTACGGAGCCCTAGGTGGGGCTTGAACCCCTGAACCGTGAGATCATGACCGGAGCCAAAGTCAGATGCTTAACCAACTGAGCCATGCAGGTGCCCCTACTTTGTCCATTTTTATGTCTCAGTTGACATTTATGTAAGTAAACTGCGAGATATTTGGTCTATAGCAGCAGTTTTCAAGCATTTTGGTCTCAGGATCCCTTTACATACCAAAGAACTTTCATTTATGTGGGTTTAATCTGACACCATTTTCATGTAAGATATTAAAACTAAGAAAGATTCTGTTTTTTTAAAATTTACTTGTTTACTTAAGTAATCTCTGTCTGCATCCAACATGGGGCTTGAATTCATGACCCCAAGATCAAGAGCCTCATGTTTTTCCAACTGAGGCAGGCAGCCCCAAAACTAAAAAAAATTTTAAATATATTTTTAAATAACAATAATAAACTATTGTATGTTAACACAAATCACAGTTTTTGTGGGAGAGAAAAACTATTTTCCAAAACAGACAAAAAATTACTTAGAAAAGTAGCATTGTTTTTACATTTTTGTAAAATCCCTTTAATGTCTGGCTTAAGAAAGACACCCAGATTCTCCTATCTGCTCATATGCAACACATGCAACCTGTTGGGAATTGTTGTTTTGGCTAAAGTAGAGAGTAGTTTCCCACTATATGCAGTTTTACTCTATAAGGCTTCAGCTAACCCGCAGTCAGCTGCGATCAATCCAGAAGCAGACGATCCTCTTGATCTGACATAGCGTCAGAAGGTCAATAGCGGCCTAACGCTCTATCACAATGCCTGCATCATTCACCTCACTTCATCTCATCACATAAACATTTATCATCTCGCATTATAAGAAGAAGACTGAGCATAGTGCAAGATACTTTGAGAGCGAGCCCACATTCACATAACTTTTATTACAGTATGTTGTTATGATTATTTCATTATTAGCTATTGTTTATCTCTCACTGTGCCCAACTTATAAATTAAACTTTATCATATGTATGTATAGATGGGGGGGAACAGCACATACAGGGTTTGGTACTACCTGCAGTTTCAGGAATCCAGAGTTGGTCTTGGAATGTGCCCCCTGCAGATAAGGGGGGGACTACTATGTGAAGAAACTACAGCCTCCCAAAATATGTAGTTAAGAAAGGGGAGGAATATTTTAGCCTTTTCGGATAATTGTGGATATTCTTCTTTGATACTACACCAAAACTGGACAAATCTTAGTTTCTTAAAGGTTAGTTTTAGTGGGGAATCTGAAGCCATATCTATAAATGTTTCATACTCTGTTACGTTAAAATTTGTTGGATCTTATATTTGAAATGGATCTCTTGTACATGCATCGAGCATCTGGAAAATACTGGTTCACTGTGTGACGTCAGTCTTCTAAATGTTGACTCCTTTCATTATAGAATATTTTTAAGGTCACATATATTAATATTACCTCTGATCTCACCAGAAATGTTTGTAAGTTTGGGGGAGGCTCATGATACAAGTTCTCCAAAATTCTTTTTTTTTTTTTTAATGTTTATTTTTGAGACAGAGAGAGACACAGCATGAGCAGGGGAGGGGCAGCGAGAGAGGGAGACACAGAATCTGAAACGGGCTCCAGGCTCTGAGCTGTCAGCACAGAGCCCGACGCGGGGCTTGAACCCACGAACTGCGAGATCGTGACCTGAGCTGAGGTCGGACGCTTAGCTGACTGAGCCACCCAGGCACTCCACAAGTTTTCCGAAATTCTGATTTCCACTCAAAAGCTCAAAGTTTATCATTGGTAACAGTGTTGTCCTTGAGGTGACCAGCTCACTTCATTCATTTTTGAGCAGGTGTTTGCCAGACACCCTGGTCTGAGTCACCATGGTTGTCAGTCATTTTTCCAAACTGAAAATGGAGCTCCGTTTACGAAGTGGCATCTCGGCCTGCAGCTGGGCCTGTGGTGCTTCTCCTTGAGACGTCCTGGAGCAGACTTGCTTTCTGCACTCTTTTCGCTTTATCACCACAGAATATTTAAAAAGACAACTATTCAAGGGTTGCAGTTTCATAAAATTCTAATTTTTACTGCTACCTAAGTGAAATTGGCATTTTTGTTTTTACTACAAGTGTGGTACAATTTATTGTCACTGCCTTGGTTCATACTAAGGCACTGACACTTTTTACCCATCATTGCTTTTGCATTATCGGTGCAAATGCCAACACAATGAATAAAGGTAAATTGTTCTGAAAGTGGTTTTGACCTTATGTATCCCCTGAAAGGGTTTCTGAGGACCCCAGAAGTCTGTAGATCACACTTGGAGAACCACTGCTCTATAGAGAGGTTTTGTGTGTGTGTGTGTGTGTGTGTGTGTGTGTGTGTGTGTGTGTGTGTGTGTTTAAGTTTATTTATTTTGAGAGAGGGAGAATGTGAGTGGCGGGGCGGGGGCAAAGATAATGGGAGAGGGAGAATCCCAAGCAAGCTTCATGCTGTCAGCTCACCGCCTGATGCGGGGCTCGAAGTGCTGAGCTGAAATCAAGAGTTGGTCCCTGAACCAGTTGAGCCACCAGGCGCCCCAATGATCTATAGATAAATCCTTCTGTAAGCCTAATGGTATATAGGAAATTATAGGGGTGCCTGGGTGGCTCAGTCAGTTGAGTGTCTGACTCTTGATTTCTGCTCAGGTCATAATGGTGGTCATGGGCTCCAGTTCTGTATCAGGCTCGCGCTGAGCGTGGAGCCTGCTTAAGATTCTCTGCCTCTCTGCTCCACTCGAACACTCTCTCTGTCTCTCTCAGATAAAATGTTTTTTCAAAGGGGGAGGGGCCTCTTGATAGGATATATGTGTGTATTATCTGAGGCTGTGCTCCATATTATTAATCCTGTTGAAACTCTCTGGAAAGCTTTGGAAGGAGGTGTATTATTAAATTCTTACTTTTTGTATTTTGATTGTTTTGTTGTTGTTTAAGATCTATCCTCAGGAGAGACACAGCATAAGAGTCCCTGAATCTGGAGAACATTACGAACTGCATCTTTTGCACTACCTTCAAGAAAACCTTGGATCGCGTATTGCTGCTCTGAAAGTGATATAATTTTGACCTGTGTAGAACTCTGGTATACACTGGCTGTTTAACCAAACGAGGAGGTTTAATCAGTAGAAAACACGGAATTGATCAACACATTTTGGTACCTGCCATGTAACATCTACTCCGGAAAGTATAATCGGTGCCGTGCAGGCGTCTACAGCTTGTGGATAGTAATCTAATACCTTAACCATACACACCCAAAATTGAATGACACCTATTTCTAAAGGACCCAGCAATACCATGAGAATCACTGAAGGAAATAAGACATTAGCACCATATATCCATACTACCTTATTTTCACTTCTAATAGCATTATAAACCTCATGGACTTAATTAGTGTATTTTTACAGTATACTTCTGAGTTTGTTAAAATATGATGATATTAGTGATTGGTTTGGTTCAATTCCAGAATCTCTGACTAGTTACAGATTTGATAGCACTTAAATGTAATTGAATAGCTTATGCTTCATTGCTTGGGGTGTATCCAGCATGTTATGAACTAATCACTATTAAACCTATGACTTTTAACCAGTCATTAATGATTTTTCAAGGATAACTTAGTGGCCTCCTAAAGACACTTATTTTGTTTCATTCAAGCTCTGACCAATTTTAGCCAATTTCAACTGTATCTAGTATAAATAGTTCTCTCTGATGATATGACAGAGTGGGCTTTTCCTTTCATACAACGGCAAGTAACTGTACATGTAGCATGGTTTAATTAGTCTTACAATATTGATAATTACAGGCGGAAAAATTTTAAATGGTTAGAGCTTAAATATTTGCAGGCAATTTCTTCTCCTTTAAGAAAAGGAAAAAGTACACCTTACTCTTCAGAAAATTTAGTGGTGCCAGTTTCCATTGGGTATTTCCTTATTGAAAGGTTTCAGAATTTTAGGTGATGGAAGGGAATTGTGGTAGGGTTGGGGATACTAGGGTGTGTAAAATGACAGGGAGAGGAGAAGGGTCTGCTTAACAACTAAGTAGAAGTATAATTTGACCAAAAATACTCATGCAAAAGTTTTGGGGGGGTGAAATTGAAACTCCTAGAATGTTAGTTACAGAAACCAGAATTAAGAAATCACTCTCTTACCAGCGCAGTTACAGACCGATGTTATTCAGGGAGAAAAAGTTACTTAGTTACTTCTCTAATTCTAAGTTTTTGTTATTTTCCTCTTAATTTTGGAAACTTTACAGATTTAAACTTTCTCTATCCTTTTTAAATTATTTGAGCATAATTTAGGTATTGTGAGCTTAAAGAGGTTTCCAGACAACTTCTTTACCACAAACTGATCCCCAGCCAGCCATGGCTCTCTTTTTCAGTGTTCAAAGCCTCTAAGCAGCTTCTTGAATGGCCATGACATTTCCTGGTTTAGCCCTAGCACTTGACTGTTAAGGGAGCTCATAGGCTTTTCAGGTGCTGATTGGAATCTGTCATCTTAGAGTCTTGGGGTGTTAGATGGGTCACTTTGCCAGCGGCAAAGAAGATACCTATGAGTTTGACCCTTTTTATCACAAGCCTCAGTGTTTGGAAAGTTGTTACCAGTACTTTTAAACAATGCTCCAAAAAAGTTGCTGTTTTTCTTTCTCACCACTACAGAGTAGATTTCTCCCATAGAGAGCACAGCCTCCATCAGGAAGGATGATGACTGTGCGTCAGAGGTGAATTCATCACTGAGGGCCAAGTGGGAGGTGGGGGAGGTCCAGAAATGGCAAGGTGACCTGGTGGCTCTGTCCTTGGGAAGGGGATTGGGTTTTGCTGTTTGTGTATTTATACTGTATCATAGGTACCACACTTTTCCTTATTGTCTGTGTATGTATTGATTTCTTTGTTTATATTTTCCCATGCCAAGGTCTGTTTATATTTTTTTCAATGTTAAATTAAATTGATTTGGGTAATTTTTCTTCCCAAGAAAGTATTTTCCCCCTTGATTTAAGTATATATCTGACTATCGAAGGTGGTTTTTGTTTGTGAACTGGTTGGCCCCCAGGGATCTATCCTTATATAATATGCAAAGTAGAAATGGTATACAGTGGCTTTTAGACATCTACTCATTTGAAACCTCTTGCCCGTTAAAGCTATTTCTTCAAAACGGCGTCTCTCATTTTACCAAAACAAACCTAAAAGAACCTCATGTGCTCTTGAATTCACCAGTGTTTTCCTTTTGCATCTTCCTTCTCCTTTCCTCATATCACAAGGAATGCCTCTGTTATAACCCCCAGTTCATTAAATGCCATTCTCCTTGTGTAAGGGGAAAAATACAGGGCTGAATTCACTTGCAGAAAGACAGTTTGAGTTTTATTTTAAAAACCGATGAGGAAAACATCCTAGTCCATCCAAGCAATCAGTTGAAATCTCACTGAAACTATTTGTACCCTATCAATGGGGAACATTTTAAAAGGCAAGAGTATATAAAAGTAGCAACAGTTTTGGTTAAGAACCAAAAAGCAGTAGGTTAAGTATCAAATGGGGCGGCTTTTGCAGGCTTGATAAGTAGGTGCACTTGAGCAACCATCGGTAGGGGTGGTGGCTTACGTGTTGAGCGCGAGGACTCAATCTAAGAATCTTCTGGGATGCTTAGAAAAAGAAATGCAGTCTTGAACCTTACGCTTAGAACTTTAAATTTGGTTGATTTGGGTGGAGACCAGGAATCTGCATTTCTAACCGCCTTTCCTAGGTGATTTAAAGTTGTTTGTGGGCTACTTTCACAGACTCTTCTGTAGAGAATGGAATTGGATTAAGAGTATAATAGGTGATTTTTACACTGGACTGATTTACAAAAACCTAAAGCAATAGTCAAGGACAGCCGCTCATCTGTGATCATGACTGGGCCCTTCTCACTCTGAAAGCAGCAGAAAGGTGTCGCTAACTATGTCTCCTCTTTGTCTGGAGATTTCGTTTTGGAATGAAGGTTCTTCCCTCAATGCCGTTCCTGGCTCATTTCCAAAGCCTCATACTAGAGGATGGAGTCACAAGGCATGCATTACTTCGTAAAGGAATGAGATACAGATATTGATGCTTCCTTTTTTTACTACTTGTTTTATTTCTTACAGAAGGTGTAGCCCACCTGTCTGTAACATAATTCTCTCTTTAGGTGGAATGATTCTTATGAGATCTCCCGTTTATTATAGAAGCCTAAATTTTTAAGCTGTTGCATCTTTGATATAATCTAATGTTCTCATCTGTTGGAGGAGGAACCGACATAGAGAGAGAAGAGAAAATATACCCATTGCCACGCGGCCGGTGACTGCTCAGCTGGTACTAGACTCCATCCGGATGCCCTGACTCACGGTAGTTAAATGATAGATAGAAAAGGCAAATTTTTAAAGAAGTATTTATTAATATATTCCTATGAAACATTTTAAAGATAACATAAAATGGTTAATTTTTCCATTCTGAAGTAAATGCTAAGCATGCTTATTACTGAAGCAGTACTTCTAATTAGTATATGACATTCTGAAGTTAATTAAAACTGTTAGACTAAATGTGTCTTCCTAGTAGTGAGGGATTTGGGAATTGGGGTGTAGAATAGAGTGCTTGCTTAAGCCTGAGAGCCTAACTTAGAGCTAGTTGAAGTAAGAAAAGAGACATGGCCATATCTAACTGAGATTTTGAGGTGAGTGTCCGCTTCCAGCAGACATGAAGGAATAAAGAAACTTCCCTGACTCCCACTTTCCCAACTCTCCCCAGCCTCACCTATCCGTCTTGCAGCCTAAAATAAGGAAACGTTAGTGCAAGGTGCCGGTTCCTGCTTCTCTTATTTCGTCAAGAGACAGTTCTAGGTAATCATTTCAGAAGTCCCTCACAGAGAGAAAAAGGAATATTTGTATGTTTGTTTCTGGATAACCCAAATACAAATTTATGTTGTATTCAGCACAATTGGAGTTCAGGTCTTTAATTTTAGAATATAAAGTGCCTGCTGTTTTAAGCATTGACTTGTATAAAAAGAATTGCATGTCTCACTCCAGTAAGTTTACGGGTTTTCTCATTTTCAGCTACATGGCTTTTAATCATGTAAAGTGAAACATTAGTTTTGTTGCATTTTATTACAGGTTCTTTGTTGCAATAAAGATGCTGCTAAATTACTTGATGTAAATGTTCCTTCCCCCCCCCCCCATTCCCTATTTGTACAATCTTGACTTGATTAGTGGCAAGTGTGGAGTGATTAATACACGTGTCCAAGGTCATGTGCTTGCAATGGAGAAAGGAAGACTGCAAGGTGATTACATGGGGTTTCTAGTACAAACCCTAGCCATAAATGCATCCAAACCCACACGGAGGTGTGCTGAGAACTGCTTTGTGCCTGCCAGTGGTGCCCAGCGACCAGCACTTTCTACTGCAGGGGTAGGGTAGGTGGTGCCTGGAGCCAGTGCCCTTCCTGAACAGCTGGGATTTTCTTAGGGATGCCACTTGGAGTTGATAGTGGTTTCTGCATGCTCCCTGGAAAATTTCTCGGGAGTTCAGTGTAATACTTTCTTCAGAGCTTTCTTTGACGATTCTCGGGTCTGTTGAAACTGTACTGGAGAAAAGATGAACTCCTCTGAAATTAGTAAATTTGGGGTTTGTCTGATAATCCTTCCAGAACAGACGCTTAACCTGGATTCTCTAATCCTCTGAGGTGGTATGCAAAATATTGCATGAATGAGAGGAAGTGCATTCTGGGGAGAAAGGCTTTGGCTTTATCACATTCCCAAAGGGAGGGTGATCCCCGCCCCAAAAGAACCCCTGCTGTGTTATGTATTAGGTTCATAAACTTTTAATTTTTTAAAATTTCCTATGTTTTAAAAATGTTTAGTTTATTTTTGAGAGAGAGAGAGAGTAGGCAAGTTGGGGAGGGACAGAGAGAATCCGAAGCAGGCTCCAGGCTCTGAGCTGTCAGCATAGAGCCCCATGTGGGGCTAAAACCCATGAACCGTGAGATCATGTCCTGAGCCGAAGTTGGACACTTAACTGACTGAGCCACCCAGTCGCCCCTTTATTATTTTTTTAATGCCCCCTTTGTTCATTT